CCCCCCAGTGCCCAGCACAGGGGCACGCTCCCTGCCCTGCTCCTGCTGGCCACACCACTCCTGAGACAAGCCAGGATGCTGCTGGCCCTCTTGGCCACCTGGGCACACTACTGTCACGAGTCCCAGTGCTTGCAAGTAATTTATCAAGATTGTGCTTTTTACAGAATCAAAAAGCAAACGTCACACACTTGTGCTTCGTTCCCATCACACGAATATCAAACATCACCCAGCAGACTTACGAAAGACCAGCTTGGGTGAGCGTGGGGAAGTGGAAGAGCAGCAGGTGCTCCATTAATACTTTTTACCCATTTTTTAATCACAACTTCTGTCTTGTCTTCAGCACCAAGATCACAACTTCTGAGCATGCCGCTACCTAGTGCTGCTTACTAAATTTCTCAGGTTAGAAAAAGCACAATACAAACCACACCCAGTCAGTGCAGTTCCTGATCTTTGCACTGCGGGCGATTGCTGTAGAGCACACGGGTACGTCTCGGAGTGCTAATGGCAAAGGTGTTGGTCAGCGTTAGCCAGGGCACTGTGCTATTTACAAAAGCCTATCATGGAGAGGGTTACTACGGAGGAGAAACAAACCTGAAGGCAGAGATCAGTTTGGCACTAAGTTTAGAGAACACAGATACTCATCAACACCAGCCCAAGGCGGGTGGACAAGCCTTTGGAAACGTTTAGCTCCATACGACTTTCCTAAGCCAGCGCCTTCCCAAAAAGTGAGTCACTTCTACAGTTTCAAAACGAACACTGGAGGCTTAACTGGTTAAGGAGGTCGAGTGACAGAGAGAGAAGCTGGCAGTTCCTGCACGAGCCACAGCCCGGCCTCAGCAGAGCTCCTGGCCTGCCCCATCAGCCTTTCCCGTGTCTCTCCACGAGGGACCCGCAGTTTAACTGACCCAAGTTAAACACAAAGTCAAATTTTCACGCACCGTGGCCGATGGACACAAACTTTGCTCAAAAGGTTGCTCGCAACACAGAGTTGCTTCAAACAGGGCAAGAATGCCCACGCCAGAGGCGTCGCTGCCGTGCTGGGTGGTGACATAGGCATAGTAACCTCACGAGCACGCATGTTTGCTGTCTATGGGGCGGACTCAACCCGTATATCCAGAAACCCCTGCCATTTATTAGACTCTAGTGAGGGACAGCAATGCCTCCCGGCTCGTCATGTGGCCAGCGGGCAATGCTGAACTGTGCCACTGCACTTGCCAAACTGCCCGAGTACAGACAATTCAGGATAACGCTGGTACCAACCCAAAATTTGTGGTTATGGCTGCCAGGAGGTGCAGGTCCCCGATGAACAACCAGTCCGTAAAGACTGAAAGTTCTAACAATGTTATCGTTAGCAACAGCTAAGAAAAAAAAACAGAGGACACGCGTTAGTAGTATAAATAAATAAAAACCCCTCTACGTGGCTCAAAGAAGACCAAGGCTGTGTCATTCCTGGTGATGAACAGATCCCGAACCAGCCCTCCTTGTTCTAACATTGTTGTTATCGTTAGCAACAGCTAAGAAAAAAAAACATTATTTCCTTTTTACTTCAAAAAGTAAAGCCCATCAGCTTAATAATATATGCACAAATCCCCCCAAAAAACATTATTTCCTTTTTACTTCAAAAAGTAAAGCCCATCAGCTTAATAATATGCACAAATCCCCAAGTAAAACGTACGACAGGCATGTACGTGTGTAGTTCCTTATTCACAGGCCAGAATCCCTCTAAACCAACGCAAATTTCATCTTTCATCATCCCTTTAAACAAAAACAAACCCCAAACACCCTCAGACTCCCAAACCTTACAAGGACTGGGAGCAAGCTAAGCTGTTGGGTTCAGAACTAGTGCAATTTTATATATTTTTTTTTTTAATAATGTTCCTGCAGCTATGACACTACTGATCATTTTTGGAAAGAGTTAGCAAAGATTAACTTACCTTTTTTTGCTGATAGGGGGTGCACTGAATATGGGGTAGACAACAGCATTGGAAGGAGATGCTGGAAGAGACGAGTGAAGTTACTGAGGTTTAGAATGCTTTTTAGTTGCAGAACACATTGATACAGGGAAACAGAAATTCCAACACCAACGAGACTTCAAAAGTGACACGTGATGGTGAAACCGAACTCTATAGACAAGAACTTATAATTATGAGTATGGGGAAGCTGGTGATGCTGCTGGGTAGAAAGGTTACATCCCCGAGCGGTATCCAGCAGTCATCACCATCAGCCCACCTAGGGGACATCAGCCAGGCTATCCCGTGCTTTCCCTGCTCACACTGGAATTGTGAAGGATTACATCAAACAGAAATTTCTGCTGCGGTAGTTTAGCATTTCCTGGGCTATTAATTGAGAGCGTTAATCAAGCAGAGGTTTCTCCGTTTTCCATTATTTTGGCTAAGGCAGCTTGAACCTATAGCTTCATCCTGGAGCAGCTGGGAAGCGACAGGCTCAGCGCTAGGTTACAGCACACGAGCTGCAGGTTTTAGGCTAACTTAGCAAAGACCTGGGTAAGTAAAGCCAAGCAAAGTTTTAGTTAGGAATATATCTTCCCTTAAATGTAAAAAGTTTAGGTACTAGACTGCTTTATGCTCTTGTATTTTGACTGCATTCACGAATAGACAGAGGCTTCTTGGGAATTACAGAAATATGAGCAGAAAAAGGGCCCTAAGAGCCTCCAGAAAACATGCCATGAGGATGAACCAGTTGTTTCTAGGAAACAGGACACAATAAAAAAAAGTCTCTTGTTAATATCAGCAGTGGAAAAAGATCGTGAGGAGTCATGAAGGCGGCACTAAGAAACAACAAAAAGCCTACGGCTTCCTAGAAATGCAGGATCTTACAGAGGGCCAAGCCACTTCTTGGGAAAGGCCCCAGCAGGCAAATACCACTGGGCAATCTTTGGGAATGTGATGGCAACAGCTTTGTAAACAGGTGGAAAACACAGCAATAGGAGTCTTTTATACAGAGCTGGAGATAGCAGAAAGAAGAGCGGCTGGCAGCACAGAGCATGCCACCCCTCCTCCGGAGAAGGGGAGGCACAGCAGGGAAAGGGTGACCTTCAAGAAAACAAACTTCACCCAGCTCCGAAAGCAGATAAATAAGTTCCCATGTGAAGCAAGGCTGAAGGGGAAGGGCGAGGCGAAAGCTAGGGAGCGCTGGCGGTTTCTTCAAGAGACAGATTAAGACCAGATGTGCCAGAGAGAAGTGGAGTAAGAGACAAACCCAGCTACATCATGACTTTCTCTCTCACTGGAAACCCAAGGAATCACCATGGGAGTAGAAACCAGGGGAAAGCAGAGCAGCAACATGAAGGCCTGAAGGCAGAAATGCCAAATTGCAAAATGAGCTCCACCTGGGAAGGCCATAGTACCGGGAAAGCCTCCTGTAACAGCAAGGGGGAAACCCAGAAGCTACAGCTACCAGAAGAGGAGGAAACACTAAAACCAGATGACAAACAGTGACAAAACGTTTAGTGACTTTTTATTTCAGTCATCAACAAGAGAATTAGTTGTGATGAGATTGTTAGCACAATTAAAACACAAGGGAGACAGGAACTTGCACAGCTGGGGAAAGATGTAAAGGCAACTCTCAGATAAATCAGAGCTCTTCAGACTAGCAAGGACTGAATTAACCCAGGGCTGATGGGGCTGGAACAGCGAACGCTGCCTATTTTTAAAAGGGAAAAACAGAGAAACCAGGAAATTAGGATAAAATAACATGACCTCAACTTCTGCAAACATACTGGCACATGCTAGTGCATACTTGGAAGATGAGAGAGCAGGTAGAGGCCAAGACATTATTTTGCCTTAATAAAATAATATTTAGGCAATGTATTTTCTTTTTATTATCACTTGTTATTCCCAATAGGAAAAATAATAAATGTTTTAAAATTAATATATTAACTTCTGAAAATTCCCTCGTGTCAGTAGGGAAATACGGCGTCTGTAACGAACTGTAAGAAAAGGGGCAAAGTTGACCGGGGGTGGAGGGAAAAAAAATAATATTCAAATAATTGTTAATAATTCACTGCTGAAACAAAAAGTATGGAGTGGAGTTTCCTCGGTGAGCGCAAGGAGCAAACAATAACACATGCCTGTAACTTTGTAGAGAATAGCTAGCACGTAGGGGCATTTAAGAGTTTAATTTAAAAAGCACCCTTCCCTTGCAAAGCCAAACAGATTGAAATAAGGATAAGGGGAATCACCACGCTTAACAAACAAGGGCAAAATAAGAACTCGGGATCAACCCTCTGGCCAAAGGCATCTCACAAACACCAAGTTCCCTGTGGAAATGTATACGTTGTGACTGTATGAAACCTAGGAATTCCTCCCTCCCTGCTAATTAGTGCTGGTAAGGCTCAGGTGTGAGAGTACCACACCAGGAAATACATGGCTCAGGCTGGAGAAAACAGGTAAGTGAAAGAGCTGCCTAAAAATCAAGATTTATAAAGGAAAGCTGAAATAATCAGGATAACCAGCCAGGGAGAGAAGAGTAGGGAAAAACCTAATAACAGGATTCAAATACAGCAATTTTCCAAATCTTACTGGGAATGGGCCGTAAAGCAAAGAGGAAAGCTAGGGTAGACATCAGGATAAAAGCACTTTACAAAACAGATTTGTCAGGGAGCGAGCAGAATCTCCATCATTGCCATCCAGCTTATCAAAAGAAAAAACGAGAGGACAAGGTGAGGATTCAGCAGATCCTGCTGGGGAAAAGCGGGTGCCCTGAGACATTTTCAGAGTCTCTTCATTTTCCTACAGGAAAGGCCATAGCCCAAGATACGCATAATCTGACTTACCTTGCTCATTCCCCTTACACGGAGATTGGCTTGAAGGAATAATGCAGTCATCGGACTCACAGGTTGTAGGAGAACCGATTTCATCAACATCCTAGAAATCAAGACAATTTTTTTAGGGCAAAAAGAAAACTCTGCAGTCGATTAAGTTCTGGGACAGCAGTTGCAGAATCACCTATGGTTCAAGCGACTTTCACGAGGAGCATTAATTGACATTAGGAAGCGTTACCGACAGCTGTATTTGCCAACAACAAAAAGGCAGTCTCAGCAGACTTGCCCCCCATCCCACGGTTATTACAGTTACACCTGAATGCTGAATTTGAAAAACATTGCTGCAAACGTGGCACCCTGGCACTGAGGAAGAATTCATCTCCTGCAGGGTACTTGGAGCCTTAGGGAGTACCACCAGCATTTCTCATCTACCCGCCTTTGACTTCAGGGTAATGGTCTTACAAGTTTTTGATTCTCAACACCTCCTTATATCCCATGCTTTTGTTTTACTGCATGGATGCGGATTTTTTTTCCCCTTTTGTTTTCAAGTAAATCTTAACCCTAGAGGTTTGTATCATTTCTTCACCTTAGCACTTCTGGGACTCCGCTTCATTCTCTGTCTACACCTGTGCATCATCCCAGCTTTTGGAAGCCTGTCGCAAGCTTTCTGTGAGAACGCAAGTTTGCCAAACTGATTTTTGCCTTGAACTGTGCCCTTGTTGTACAAGACAACGTATTATTTCCCATCTCGTCGGGAACCCTAGGCAGTCACCAGATAAAGCAACCGGCTGTAGCAGAATCCGAGACTAGATCAAGGCCAAGCTTGGTCTGCATTCAGTTTGCAGTAAAAGTCACACAGTTCCCTTCTCAAACACTCCGTGCTTCTGGTTAACCTCTGAGAAATAGTTTGCCAACACAAAAACCCTGCCGCCGCAGCAGGATCCCATGCTTTCAAGTTATTTGGTTTTTTTTAACTGCACGTGTGAGATGAGCTTGCACGAGCTAACGTTTGAGTTTTATTAACGCTGCATTGTAAAAACATATTGACAATTGAGTCAGGAATGCGAGAGAGAGACTAAAAGAGCACAGGTGAACGGAGGAGGCAGTGAACTGTCCTTTACTGAAGGGACACAGGGATGTACGCACATTAGCTGTACAAAACCAGCTTCCCCTCTTGTTCACTGCTTCCTTTCAATGCTCAGTGTGAAATACTACAGTAGTATTCCAGTGGCTTCTCCTACATTTCAGATGCCAGAATGCAACAGCAAAATACGGCATTAAGTGTAG